AGAGCCCAGGAAGAGCAAGGGGAGAGGGGAGCAGCAAAGGCCCAAATAGGGCTCTCAATAGAGTCAATTCTAGTGCTGAGAGCACATGCTTAAGATGCTGCGCTATGTGCAGTGCTAAGATGACACAGCTACATGTCCTGTTCCCTTCACAGTGGACAAGCTAGAAGAGAAAAAAGTCCTAACTTCTTGTCACAGAAGTGGGAAGAGATGAAGCACTTGCCTGAAAGTCTGAAGTGCCGCCATTGTGGGGGGCAGGGAGGGAAAGGGACTGAACAGGAGGAGAGAAGGAGAGGAATAGAGAATGAAAGGAGAGTAAAAGTGTAGAGAAACTGGACAGACAGACAAAGACACAGACAAAGGCACTTGGGAAATAGTGAAGTAACAGTAATGGTTGGCACAGCATGAGCCCTTTGAGGATTCCCCGTTGCTTCCATTGTCTTACAAGGTCAACCAAGGCGTGTATTTCTGTGGACAGTTTGCAGAGGGCAGGGAGGGGAGACCTGTGGGGGAAGAACACTCTGGGATCTTGTGATGAGTAGGACCACATCCGGTATGACCTCATCTAGGAACCACAGGAACCAGCAACTTTGTACCTTTATGTTGGCAGCATGCACTATCACGTGTGTGCATGTATGCATGTGCACACACTCAGAGCTTTTGGATTTCAACTCATTTGCATTGTAAAGACACTTACAAATTAATATATACAATGGAATTCTATGCTTCCACCAGAAGGAATAACACCGCCCCACTTGTAAATCAATGGAAAGCCTTGCAAAAATCATATTAAGTGAAGTAAGCCAGACCCAAAGAAACATAGGTCCCATGGTTTCCCTTATTTGCAATAATAATTAGTATATATCTAGGATAGTCTTAGCAGAGGAGCAGAATAGCTCAATAGCCATGTACCTATGACCATGTAAGATGATGCCAAGTGAAATGAACTCCAAGACATGGACACAAGAGGTTTTTCTTTGTTGTACTATGTTCTTTAATGTACTATGTGATCTCGTTTCTTTTGTATGTTCTTCCCCCTATGGTATATCCCTGTTGTCATTGTATTTGATTTTGGTATCCTGGTATTGTATATATGTTTATCTGAATTAGGGAAGGGAAGGGGAACAACAGAATGGTGAGACAAAGGACAAGGGTGAACCAATGCAACAGCGATACTCACAAGACTATGTTGGAAACGATCTGTACAACTTGGGGGATTGGAGGGGAGGGAAAGTAGAAGAAAAATGAGGCAAGGAGTAAGAAGTTTGACAAGAAATGTATTTATGACCCTACTTATGTAACTGTAACCCCTCTGTACATCACCTTGACAATAGAAAAGAGTTGAAAAAAAAGAAATAAATTCTTTCATTGAAAAATCTGGGATTACAGTTATAGTAACTATTATAACAAATAAGTCATAATAATCATATTAGTTTGTTTCACATAAGTACAACTATATTTTTTTCACCAGGGGGCATATTTTACCAGTTTTAATTTTCAGAAAAAGACAAAAACAAAAACTGATATTAGTCCTTATATTATAAAGAAGTCAGGGACCGTCTCTCATCTGTCTCTCTTTTTCAGTGTAACTTTCCCTGCATGCGTGATGGAAGCTATTTTTGTGTGCCAGGTCTCATTTCTGACAAGGCCACATTGTGCACACATAGACTTGCAAAGTACCAGTAAGATGTTTCAGGTTGGGCAGTTCCATCTAACCACACAGCCAGGTGCCCAACATGGAACTGTGGGGGAGTATGGTTTGGGGAGTTTGTAGAGCAAATCAGAGCGTGCTTCATAATCTGACTTCAGTTGCACACTTTCTATATCATGGGATTAGCAGTACAGAAGTCTATGACAAGATTGCAGAGCAAACTCTAGACCAGGAGTTAGAGATGGATAGTCATTGGATACTCCCATCACCCATCCAAGGAATTTGGGGACATGCCACTTTCTATTGTTAGCTCTCAGTTTTTCTCGACTAAAGTGAAAGTGTCAAATGAGTGTTCTATCAGTTTGAGAATCATTTTGTAAATCTCAAAGGAACAACAGAGGAATCCCCGTGGTCTCCTCTGCCGTTGCCACGCCTCCTGACGTGCCATTTATTTCCTCGGCAACGGCTCTGTTAGTGTCCAATTCTTTAGCAGCTGCTTTAGGCAGAAGGTTCCAGGGCTTTGTTGACTTAGCAGACTGCTAGTTAAATTCTTTTCCTCTACATTTTTTTTTGAGTTGGTTTGAAAAGTTTTTTTTTCTTTCTCAGTATCTCACAGTGAATCTTCTCACAATATATTATGAAGCATCAACACAAAGGTGTGAAAGTTTACAAAACACACACAAAAATGTAAATGACACTATATGGACATTTTGTCCCACGTTAAACCTCATTTATGAGTGGCCCTTGTTTGAGTTATCACACAACTACCACACAGGCTGCTGATATAATGTGATGAAAGAACCCAGCTAAGCCAGGTGTTGGTGACTCACACCTCTAATCCAGCTACTGTGGAAGCTGATATCTTAGGCTTGTGGTTCAAAGTCAGCCTGCGAGGGAAATTCTATAAGATGCTTATATGCAATTAACCAGCAAAAAGCTAGAAGTGGAGCTGTGACTCAAGAGGTAGCATACTAGCCTTCAGTGAAAAAGATAAGGGAGGCTCTGAGTTCAAGCCCTGTTATTCGAACACATGAAAAGGAGTCTACCTGGGAGTAAAGTTTTGAGCTACACCTCCAGAGATAGACATGTGACTCCCTAGTCTCTAGTGTCCTTACCTGTACAAAGAGGAGTTTGGGCTTTTGTTGTGGGTTGAATTGTGTGCTAATACCCAAACTCATATGCTGAATCACTAAGTCTCAGAGTGGCCCTGTAATGTACTATGGGTTCCTGAAAGGGGAAATTTGGACAGGCATTTGTGAAGGCAAGCCAGAACAGATAGATCCTTCCGTTACAGTGGCCAGAAGGAGCTAAGTTTGCAAATGCCTTTATCTCAAACTTGAGTCTCCACAACTGGGTAGAAGCATTTAACTGGTGTTCTCTTACCAAACTTGTGGAACTTTGTTACTGCAGTCCAAGCAAACTAACACAATTTCATCAATGGTTCCTGATCATTTTATTTCTTTTGACATCTTGTTAGCAATGTTTAGTTAAATATCAATAATTAAATTGCAATATTTATTCCATATTTACAATATATAAGGGTCTTTATAGACATTTGTTCTACTTGATTATTCCCTAGTGTGCATCCCATGACTTAGAAGATTCAGATTCAGTCTACTACAAATATTGTAGTTTTGGCTTTTAGTAATCCTTTGTGTATTTTCTCATGAAATAACCAGGACCATCTCATCAATATGGTTTAATTAGTGCCCCCAAATAAACAGTGATGTCTTAAGTAGATGTAGATATATCAAGTAAACACATTTAGTTTGTTCAGTTTGTTACAAAAATATTGAAAATTAGCTGGGCGCCTGTGGCTCACACCTGTAATCCTAGCCACTCAGGAGGCTGAGATCTGAGGACCATGGTTTGAAGCCAGCCCAGGCAAGAAAGTCTGTGAGACTCTTAATCCCAATTAACCATCAGAAAACTGTGGCTCATGTGGTAGAGCTCTTGCCTTGAGCTGAAGAGCTCAGGGACAGCACCCAGGCTCAGAGTTCAAGCCCCATGACTGACCAAAAAAAAAAAAAAATGAAACTTGTTCTCAGAACCTGTGTTACCAGTTTTTGAATCAGTTGGGGTATAAGAACATATGATGATTATCTATAGAAGTATGTTCACAAAGTTTTCCTATAAAGGGCCATATGGTGAATACTTTAGGCTTTGTACACCATACTGTTTCTGTCACAGGTATTACAGTTGAACACATTACAGATGAGTACGGGTGGGTGGGGTTAGATCACATTTATTTATGCTGAAATTTGTAGTTCTTAATTTTTGCATGCTGTGAGAGGGCACTTTTGACTTTTCCCAGCTATTTAAGAGTGGAAAGAAGATTCTTAGTTCCAGGGCCTCAAGTCAAGCCTCAAGTTCTTACCTCATAGCAGGTGCTTCTTTACACACTTATGGATGTTGTTGAGGCCTAGAGAAGGATTATAAAGTTTTAACTAAAACTCGGCCTCTGGCTGCTCATGCTGCTACTGTGCTCTAACTCTCTAAGTGCTGTTTTGGTCGTGATTTCAGATGTGTCCTCTGTATTCCTATGATGCAGAAAATAGATGTGTGGTCAGCGTCCCTTTCCAGGCTGTGACCATGTAAGGGCTGGCTTCTTACTAGCAGCCAGCGGCAACCTAATTTTGTCAAGCTTGACCCGGGCTTTACACACCCTGTTTTATACCTCTCGGGTTGCGTGTGCCTAGTGGCCCATCTGTCCTTACTATTTGAGGCCCTGCTGTCTCATTGGCGGCTTTCGGAGCAGCTGCAAAGTATGTTTCTAACTTTAAGTGGAAGTTGGGGTCACCAGCTAGCTGCCTGGAACAGTCAGTGTCAGCAAGGGTTGTTTCTGAGGGCAGTTCCCTAGTTTTGGCGGAGCAGACCAGGTAAGTGTTAAACGAAGTCCTCCCAGCTTACCGCCATCGCAGGCGGGCACTAATTAATGAAGCGTTTGCTCAAGGACTGGTGGAATAATGTGTATTGCTTTTTTATGTTGTTGTCCTCGGAAACTGTTCAGTTGCCTAGCACCAGAGCCTTCTCTGTCAGGTCGCCCGTCCTCGCAGCTCCACGGCTACGATCGCCTCGCTCCCGCGGCTCGGCCAAGGGCGACTGCGACCCACACAAGCAGTGATCGTTCGCGCTCAGGGGGCGGTCACGTCGCCGCCTGTCCGGGACGGCTATGCTGCGCGGAAAATCTCGGCTCAATGTGGAGTGGCTGGGCTACTCACCCGGCCTGCTCCTAGAGCCCAAGCCGCTTCCCGTAGGCCGCGCTCAACGCACCTTCCGTGGGTAAGTCACGTGATTAGTCGCGTTGCGTCTGCGCCTGCCGTCGCCTAAATCTTGCGTCACTGCGCTGCGCCGCGCCCGCGCACTTCAGTCCGCTGCTCAGAAGGCCTGGAAAGTTCCGGCACAGCGGGTCTCCAGCCTGCAACTTGCTTGCTTTTAAAGTACGCTTGATCCCAGTTCGCTGGCCAGAGTGTCTCGCAGCGGCACAGCGACAGCATGGATCGTCTTGACAAAGCGGCGCTGAATGCACTGCAGCCACCTGAATTCAGGTAGCCGCAGCGGGGTCCGTTCTGCCAGGCGGGCGGTCCTAACCAGCAGTGGGGTCCCAGCACAGCCGGGTAGTCAGAGGGATGTAGACTTGGGCCGGCTGGCAAGTTGGAGTTTACAGCGTCTGCACTCCTGCTCCGACTCCAGTTTTTCCGTTGGGGAGTAGGAAGTTGGGGTCATGGGAGACAGGTCAGCAGGCTTACTTCTGCTGCTGTCTGTGCACTTCCTCTCGCTCTTGTCTGTGTGAAAAATCTTTCCAGTCCTTTCCCTGCACTCACGTTCATCTCTCTGAGGACAGAACTCAGGCTTCTTTCTCCTCCTGGGACCTGCGCCATCCACTTTAACACATTATTTGTTTCTGTGACAGGAGTACAGATTGGCTCTGGTATGAGGCTGTTTCTTTTAGGGGAGGGTCAGCAAAATGGAAACTGGTGGCTGAATGGGAGTTTTAAGAAAGAACACATGTTTCTAACCAATCATCCTGGCTACCAGTCTTTGAGATCTATTGTGTCAGGTGCAGTGAAGGCACTTATGCACGCGATGTACTTTCCTATTATGAAAAGGATAACCTGGGCTCAAGTAAATTGCCCCACAGAATTAGAGCACATTATTTACTGTTGAAGCTGGCGTTTGGCGAACTCCACTGATTCCAAGGCCTGTGATAAATGGAGTCAAGGTGGTCTAAACACTACAAGAAATTAGCCAGTTTTTGAAAATTTGTACACTGAACTTTGACTTTATACAATCCTACACCACATAATGATGTTATGGTCAATCAAATCATTGATAGTAGTCTACCAGGATTATATTGTCTAGTAACATTTAAGCTTTCTTAGTACGTTTTCTGTTTCCAAAATGACATAGTTGTATAACAATTCATTTCTTGGAGTCTAGCCTTGTTTTGGTATATGACTGAACTTCATCCTAAATTACCACCATACCTAAAAGAAACTAATCTTTTTTTCGAGTTTCATTTTTTTTTCCTAGTGAAGATTGAATCTCCACGCTTCTACATACTAGACGAGGATTCTGCCACTGAGCTACACTTCTAGCCCAGTTAAAATTTTTTTTTGGGAGGGGGGGTCTGGTCATGGGGCCTGAACTCTGGGCCTGGGCGCTGTCCCTCAGCTCTTCAGCGCAAGGCTAGCGCTCTACCACTTGAGCCACAGCGCCACTTCCGGCTTTTTTCTTTTTGCATATGTGGTGCTGAGGAATCGAACCCAGGGCCTCATGTATGCAAGGCAAGCGCTCTACCACTGAGCTACCTTCCCAGCCTCTAGCCCAGGTAAAATTTTAAAATTCAATGTAAAGATAGTTATTAGAAGAAATTGAATTTATGCCATAAGTTATTACGTATATTCTATTTGGAGTATGTAGTGACTAGAAGCAAGACCGGATAATACACATTTGTAACTCAGGCCAGATAACAATCAGTCAACCCTTATTTTCTCTGGTAATGACTGACTCTAATTTTTTTTTTTTTGTAGATTCACAAGTGCTTATCCTCATTACTCATTATGGTCACAATATATTCTTGAAATTTATGAGTAGAGCTCAGTTTAACAGAACTTGTGTTTATTGAATAGCAGTAATATAAGTAGCAACCAGACTGAGGTATGGTAAAAGATGAGCCATTGCTGTACGTGAAGAAAATGTTAGGACTGGAAATGGCACTGTAGCTGAAGTGTTAGAGTGCTTGCCTTGAGCTGATGACTCAGGGACATCACTCACGCCCAGAGTTCAAGCCTCACAACCGACAAAAAGAAAATGTTAGGACTTATTTATTGTAGCACTAATTATTTAAATTCTGACATATAACAGAGCATGTAATTTTAAAATATGCTATATGTTCTGATAATTTATGTCATTGGATAGGACATATTTGGAGAAATGTGTTAAGTGATGTGTCTTTGTGCAAACATAATTGAATATACTTATACAAATAAATCTAGGGAATACATATATCCTATTGTAAACTAGATTTTATGGTGTCTGTCTGCTTTTGTGGTATTTCTTTTTTGATGATTACTTTTGGTTTAATATAAAAATGACAACATGGGAAGTTTACGCACGAGTGTTCATTATATAATTTGGTGCACAGACTGGATTTACATCTTCATTTCTAAATTTATTTGTTATAGTCACTTATGTGTAAATATAAACTACTATTTTTACTTTATTCAGGGTTTGCAATTTATATTAAAGGGAAGTATGTAAGAATCGTCCCTAACACATTGGAAAACATAACTTTTATTTTTAGGAATATATAAAAGGTAATAACCTGGAGCCCATAATTTGTATTTGAGTATTAGCTCTTTTTCCTAAGAATTTAGATGCATTATATCTTTAAAATAACCTTTAATAATCTTCTTAACCTTTTCTTTCTTCATGCATTTTTATTGTTAGCATGCAGGTGATATACAGAGGGGTTACAGTTACTTAAGTCGAGTAAAACAGTGTGTTCCTTCTTGCACAATGTCGCTCCTTCCCTTGCTTTCTCCCAGTTTTTCTCGCCTGACCCTCCCCCAGGAGTTGTATAGCTCATTTTCAGCATAGTGATTTTTCCTGCTGAATTAGTTCATGCTTGTCCCACAATTTCTGTGCCCCTCCTTATTCTGACAAAGATAGATCATGAATAAATAAGACTAAAAGAAGAGAAAAACAGCAACCAAGAAAAAACTCTTCTTATTCTCATTTTCTGGATTCATTTAGATACATGCTATTTTATATGATCACATGCATACAGATATTGTGCTTCTGTGCTCTTTTTTCCTAAGAATAGCCTCCTTTGGCCTCACTGTGTGTAAATGCCCGGAGACTTGTATAATTTATCACGTCCCAGTGTGTTTTTCTTTGCCATCTAATATTTTTACTTGTAGATTTATAGGCACATTATAACTATGACCAATAAGTTTTTAGGAGAAACACGTAGATCTCTGAGTATAGAAATTTAATATGAAAAACATAAAAACAATTATACTATTAATCATTCTCCAATATTCACTGAATGATGCATTTATGTCATTCTTACATACAGATTATTTTGCATTTTTTGAATAAAAGTGCTTCTAATAAATTCTTGAATAAAAAGAGAAAAATAATTACCATTTCTAGTGGTGATGTGGCTCAAGTTGAACAGCATCAACTTTGAGCAAAAAAATTCGAAGGGAAGTTTGTAAGACTCAAAGTACAAACACATACCAATTTTTGTTTTTTAGTGTAGTTTTATGATAATATTGTAACTAAAAGTGTGTGACTTTACTATTTCAATATTGCTTTGGTGATTTGAAAGTTTTGGTGGTTTTATGTCAATTTTGGCATCAGGGTTGCCCTATTGATTGGAAATCATATTCAGTGTCACGGTAGATTGTGCATTAGGGAGGGGAGGGGCAATATTACTCCACCCTCCCCCCTCCAAAAAAAAAAAGCTGGAAGGGGAGCTGTGCCACAGTTTAATTCAGGCTAGCATTAAGCAAAAGAAACTCAAGAGATGGCGCCTACGTCCCGAGTTCAAACCCCAGACCGGCCAAAAAGAACGGGAAAATGTTGCTGTGTTAGGGTATATTTTCTACCCAGGATTGCAAATTTTGTGAGACTGGGTTAGAAGTCAATTCTATACATGTGGTCAGTCACATGGTACGTGGATTGGGCTACAACCGCTGCTCTTAGTCTATGATGCAGGGGACGGCAGTGGGAAGGCACGGGGGGTGGGGGTGGGGAGGAGGTATTGGGCTTTCTATGAAGAAATGGACTGAGTTTTCGTGAGTTGGAATTTCCACATTACCTTGTCAGAGGATAATTGTAATGTGGGAAGTCACAATCACGATGACTTGTTTCCTAGCATCTCTGAACACTAGCTGATTGGGAGGTGAGGCGAGGTGGGGCGGGGCCAGGGTGAGCCGCCATATTTGCCGCAGAGGAGCGCAGTGGGAGTTCGCCGTCCTGGATTTGTATTTATGCTGGGCACAGGGTGCTTCCAATGTGAGAAGGTGCAGTTTCTTCTGGAATGGAGTACATTTGGTTGCTGGCTGGTAGGGACCTGCTGGGGGTGCAGCCGGACAGGACTCCCATGGGGAGGGAGGGATGGCATTTGTCGCCAAAACAGACTGGATCAGAGATGTTTTCAGTCAGGAGTTCGGTACATACAATATTGGATCCACTATCGGAGCCATTATTCTTCCACTTGGACCATGATGCCTCATTTGCTGATGCATGGGCACGGCTTTAGTGGCAGACGGCTGTTGGCTGCGCCAAGTTCCAGCTTGGACTTTGTATTTTGGGGATCTGATTCTCTCTCTGGTTACTATGCCTGGGCTGGGCATTCTGGATACTGGACTTGAATACCTAGTGAGTTGGAATGAGAATTTCCTTTGATTTTTGGATGTGAAAGGACCACATTGGAATTGAATTGCACTCTGTTAAAGGTGGGTACTTTTCTGCTCATAGCTAAGGTTGATCTTCAGACACCTTGCCTGTGATAGCTCTTCGGTTGCACTGTGTTTTGTAAATCTCTGCTCTCTGTTCATTGTGTTAAGGAAATTCAGGAATAATTGGATGAAATTTTTGATTATTTTATGTTTTATTTTAGAAATGAAGGTTCCTTAGCTTCGACTTTGAAGACACTGTTATTTTTCACAGCTTTAATGATTACTGTTCCAATTGGGCTCTATTTTACAACAAAATCATATATATTTGAAGGTAATGTTTAAAACAATTCCCCCCTTTCTTAATTTTCAATTTTTTATGATTTTTTAACCTTTAAATGTGGTGTTACTGTTTTGTATTTCGATTTGTTTTTAATGAATGCGCATTCTAAGCTTTTGTAATTATTTCTATTGGGCATTTATTTACGGTTGCTTATAGAAGATCTTAGACATGTTTTCCTATCCCATTGAGAATAACGATTGGCCAGAGATGGGAGGAAGAATTTAAGAGAATAGATTTTCGGTGTCAGATACTGGAAGGGAAAGAAAAGGAATTCTCCTTTTAAAGATCAAAGCTCTTCCACACAGTTTTAAATTAAGATTTAAAATGATATTTTAGTATATAATCCATGTGCAGAAGGCTTATGCTTGTAATCTTAGTTACTTTGAAGGCTGAGATCTGAGAATCAAGGTTCGAAGCCAGTAATTGCAGGAAAGTCCCTGAGACTCCTATCTCCAAATAACCACGAAAAGCCCGAATTGAACTTTAACTCAAGTGGTAGAGCTCTAGCCTAGAGTACAAAAATCCTAAGAGGCAGTACTTAGGCCCTGAGATCAAGCCTACTCCTGATACATGGACATGCATCAATACGATTATTTTGCCATCTACAATAATTTCAGTTAAATAAACACGTACCTAGTAAGAATTAGGTATAATGAATATATCTAATGAGTTAGTATGCATTGTTCATTGTATGTCTGGGAATAAGATGAAAATTATTTTTTTCTCTTCATAGGTGCACTTGGAATGTCCAACAGAGACAGCTATTTTTATGCGGCAATTGTAGCGGTGGTGGCGGTTCATGTTGTGCTGGCACTCTTTGTGTATGTGGCCTGGAATGAAGGCTCACGTCAGTGGCGTGAAGGCAAACAGGATTAATGTGAACATTACTTTCTGCTAGTGATAAACGGATTTTTAAAAATATAGCAAATGCTTCTGGGGTATGGATAATGAATACATATTTATTTGAATAAATTGAAAAGTTCATAGTAAATTCAGTCATAAGGACATATTTGACAAGTATATATTTGGACCCATTTAATACAGTGGTTTGTATACTCAATTTTGACTTTATGAATCTCTCATTTGCAAATGTAAAATTAGTACATTAAAATTAAGTAAATTTGTTAAACAAGGCACCCATTTTTCTGGGAAGAATTTAATGATGCTAAAACAAAAATGTTTTTTAGCATTTTTATCTTTTGCTTCAATGTTCTACTGCTCTGGACATACTAAGCTGTGTATTGTGAAGCAAGTCTAAAGTTTAGTCTACACTGGAACACCTTCCCTGACATGAGGATAGAAGCTACTTGGATTTGTGGTTTTAATTTCCTATAGAAAGTTGCTTAAATTATGGGCACTCTACTTAGTCTCATCATCTTAGAGAAAGTTCACAGAAAGTGTAATCGCTAGCCAGTACAAAACTAGGCTAAGCCACAGCAAAAGACTTTGACTGTAGGATTTAGAGAACAAGATAGGAGCAGGGTGCCAACTTTGTGCTTTTCAGACCAACCTTTTGCTCCAATGTTGATTTGTGTTACATGGCTTCTGGAAATTCTTTTTTTAAATTGTTTCATTTTTTTCCTACTATTACTTAAAAAAATAAAGCATATATGACAGGCATTTACATTCTCAAGTGTTTGTTCAATTTTTTCTTTTTTTTTTGGTTATTTTTCTTTTTTTGTTGGTCATGGGGCTTGAACTCTGGACCTGAGATCTTCAGCTCAAGGTGAGCACTCTACCACTGGAGTCACAATGCCACTTCCTGTTTTCTAGTGGTTAATTAGAGATAAGAATCTCACAACCTTCCCTGCTCAGGTTGGCTTTGAACTTCTATCCTCAGATCTCAGCCTCCTGAGTAGTTAGGATTATAGGCGTGAGCCACTGGTGTCCAGCTCAATTGTTCATTTTTGTACAGTGACAATGTAAACAACAATGAAAATATTATCTAAGATGCATTGTTGAGATCTGGCCTATTGGTACTTTAAAAAATAATAACCTATCTGTAGTAATATATAGTTAGGTAATTCTTGAAGTCCTTTTCTATGAAATACACCTACTCTGATTTTACTATCCTTTTAATCTGTAGCCATTTGTGTGTAATAAAAAAGCCTACTGACCCCCCCCCCAATGTTTATTTCTCATTATGAAACCACAAGATGTTTCTGCATTCATGGTTAAAAATATCAAAATGCATATTTCACTAGGAATAAGCATTATTCAAAATGTTGCCACTTGGAGAAAACAACTTTTTTGATTTATAGTCTGTGTGCAGTTTTGAAAAATGTTTCTTAAATGTGAGATCTAGACCCTAAAAGTTTGGTTTAAGTTCAGAGTCTTAACAGTTTTATCTGATAAGATGTTTGCATTTTTTTAAGATGAGCAATTGTTTGTTCCTTGTCTTAAAAAGTACATTCTATCTAACCTCTCAAAATTCAAATGTCTAATTTCTTTCATCATAAAGAAATAACTTTTGAGGAGATAGACACATATAATCTAATTTAAACATTCTATATTATAGACATTTATCAAAATACTATATGACCCTAAGTACATATAGTTTTGGTGTCAGTTAAAAATAAAATAATATAAAATTCAAATTTTCTATTCAAATTTTCTGTTAGTAAAAACTCTAGCGTTTGCCATTATGAATTTACCCATTGTTAGTATTTTTTATGTTGTAGACCTGGACTAGAGGAATCAAAAGGAGGGAGAATGAAAGCCAACTACATGTTTGTGTTTAATTGTTAACAGAAATAACAAAATCACTGTGACTCTTCCAGGATAGTTTAAAATTCTTGATTAAGGTTACAAGTCTATAGTTTAAATGTCTTTTGGCAGGTACTCAAAATGTAAGCTCTTTCTCTTTGGTTAAGAGTACAATTTTAGTATAATGATGTTTAAATCTTGGTTGTGTGGTAGCTTTCTAAATGGTTCCCTCATTAGTTGGCCGTATTTAGGATTATCCACCTTATTTCATACAATATCAACAATTTTCCTATATTTTGAGCATGCTGTTTTGTAACATATAATGAATGTCAGTGCTGAATTCTTTTCTTGACTTCAGGTATTTGCTAAGTACATACTGATAATGGATAGTTTCCCTAAAAATAAGTAGGAATATATGCAAAACTATGGAACAACATTTAAACCTTAAAATGAGATGCTAAGGTTGATATTTAGAGTTGTTACAAAATAGCTTGTTTTGAAAGCATTTAGTTTTTCTTGGAGTTTTAACTGTTATGACATCATCTTGCTGCTGTTAACTGTGTTAAGTATTTGACAAATGGATTTGTTTTCCTAATGTCTCACTGGCTTCCTCTTGCACAATGTATATAGGTCATGATGTATAGCAGGGGAAAGTACAATTTTAAGGTACGTCTGTGTTCACTGCTGTTTGGAAACTAATGAAACATTAACCTCAATTAGAAAATATGACTTGAAATGTCAGTCTAAGCTACTGATTCAGCTCCTGTTACTAACCGTACCTTCATCACCTCATTTGTCCCCCATTATGGAACCCTTTTCCCCCACTATGCTGAAAAATGAGCACTCTGCGTGGAATACATCAGATGTCATTAGCTCATCAGATGAATACCATTTTAAATACAGTAGTAAAATTTGGGATTGGGTTATTGATAAAGAATTTGAAATACACTATTAAAGAAACCCTGGATTAAAATATCATAATGAAATCCATTATTTTGTACAATTAAAAGATACCTGGAAAAATACCCTGAAATCTCTACAGATTCCTAGGAATCCAACAGAAATATAATGATTGGAATGTTTTATTGGGAATATCATATTGCCTTTCGTCAAAAGAAGCAACTAGTCCTGTACTGGTGGCTCACGTCTGTAATCTTAGGTACTCAGGAGGATGAGATCTGAGGATTACAGTTTGAAGCCAGCCAAGGCAGAAAAATCTGTGAGACTTCTAATTAATCTGAAAAAGTAGTATAGCACTAGCCTTGAGCAGAAAAGCCAAGCAAGCGCTCAAAACCCTGGATTCAACCATTAGCACTGGCAGACACAAAAAAAGCAGCTGATTACCATGTTCATTTTGCATTTTTATACACATTTTATATATACAGCTGGGGTACCTAACAAGACCAGCAAGAATTAGTTAAGTTGGAAAATTGTTCCTAAAGGAAGATTAAAGCTGAAGGTACATATGACAAAAAAATCCTGTTTACAATGTATCTAGTCTGTATTTCCTGTCTGCAGAAAATTTTGTTTGTTGTTTAATTTATGCCCAAGTGAAGTAGACTGTTGTATCAGGCACAAAATTTGTCACTTGTCAGTAACAGGTTTTTTTTTGCTGTCAAGTGCTCTATGTCTTCCACCAGTGTCATGTGGAACTGTCAACAAATTTTTCTGTTTTTAATGTACTTTTTACAAGAGTTGTGTAGAATTACGCATTGATAATTGTATGTCTTTTTTTTTTTTACCTTTAGCAGGGGGGAAAGGGTCCCCTTAGAATGATTTTTAGTGGCACATTACCTTTTGCTAGCTTACTACTTTGTAGATTCCGTACAGTTGTCCAGTATTCCTACAGATCAGTTTCCTTACCTGTGTGCTGCCTACATGTACTTGAAATAAATTATTTGTGCTTCTTTTAAGATGTTCTAGAAGTCACATTCATCAGTTAGACAGACTATAGTCTTACTATTTCCTGTTCAGTGACATCTCACTGAACACAGATTATAGCAATAGCTAACAACATCTGCACAGCACCTTACAGTTTGCAGAGAAAGTTTGCACATTCTCATTTGAGTTTTGTATGGTGAACCTGTTCTGAGCTCTTCGTTAACATTGATGCTGAGAGTGTTAGAATCCTTAGGTCACTAGTTTCAGTGCCTATGCCGTAGTATTGCCTAGCAGGCCGACTAGAGGAATTAGGTCATGTGCTGCATCTCAAGCCTTGGATCATTATCACCAGGGGTGTGGGAGTTCTTAGTTACTCATGTCAGGTTGACTTGCATTAAGTGATGCTTTTCTAGTCCTTATCTGGATGGGTTTTGTAGTCATTATATCCTGGACTATAATTTGTACAAATTTGCCATCTGTTGTCATTAAAAGTGTCCATAGTACGACTTGGATGTGTCGTGGTTCAATTAATAATTTTATTAACATTGATTTTTTAAAAAATGTATTTGTTTGCCTGTCTCTCTGTTTATAACATGTACAGTATATACAGACCTTACCTTTTAAGTGTGTTTGTTTCTTTGTGTTATGCAGACTAGGTACAGAACTGTCAAGGAAAAGATAAGATTTGATACAGGGCATGTAGATCAGATATGCTTAAGGACTGACTCGGGGTCTGTGGGAGGCTTGTTACAGTTCACCTGAGATGGGCCTGTTGGAATTGATGTGGGAGAAAAAACAAAGCTAGTCCTATAGCCTCTGGTTTTGATTTTTGCTGGGGGGGGCAGTGCAAATAATCTTCCAATACTACTAAAGGAGTAAGGTTGACAAATACTTGTGGCTAATAAAGATGAAAAGAGCACATCCTTGGAGATGTCTGGCGTGGCCTGTGCCCTACATCCTGTTCCCTGGAACCGCCTGTTGGTGGTACTCTAGCTCCTTTCAGGGCTCCCGAGGATGCCAGCTAATTCTTTCTAATGAATATGTCTGATCAGAAGAGCAGGAAGGAGAGACAGTACAGGTAGGTCTTTGGGACTTATGTCTGATGGAGGATGGATTATAATTACTACCTGCTAAGAAAACTCACCAATGGCAAAATCCAGAGACCATGCTTGCAGAGCATAGCCAGCAGCTCTGCCATTTTGCACGTGGGCAAGAATTACAGCTGTAGTGGGGAGAAAGCTGTCATGGTGGCAGGCTATCCCACTTCCCTCAGCACAACCATCACTCAATCTGGTGTAGCAGACAGAATAATAACATGCACCACAAAAAATGGCCATGTCTAGGCTGGATGTGATCCTCACACCTAGCATCTCAACTGCTTAGGAGGAAAGGTTGGGAAGATTATGGTTTGAAGACAGCTCAGGTGAAAAGTTAATAAAATGCCATCTCAAACAAGCTGGGCATGGTAATATATGTCTATAATTTTTGTTCCACAGGAGGCTTAGAAGGGAGGATCCCAGTCCCAGGCCAGTTAGGGCAAAAATAGTTACACCCAATCACAAAAATAAGTAAAAAAGTTATGTGGTGGCATGCCTCAAATGGTAGTGTGACACTCTGAGTTCAAAGTCTTAAGTACTGCAATAAAACAACAACAACAACAACTGTAGTCTCTTCCCCAGAACCTGGCAGAGGAGTATTAAGATTTCAGTTGGCAGTATCCTGAATCTCAGGGGGACCAATGGATTTATCATAAGGTCCTTTGGGTAGGTGTAAAAAAAGTATGCAAAGATACATCCTCTTTATTTAATCGACATATATGCCTCTATATATGTATGGATAGATAGATTCTATCCATCAATCTATATATCTATCTCCAATCCTGGGGCTTGAACTCGGGGCCTGGGTGTTGTCCCTCAGCCTCTTTTTGTTCAAGGCTAGCTCTACCACTTGAGCCATGGCACTGCTTCCAGATTTTTCTCAGTAGGTTATTTGAGATAAGAGTCTAATGGACTTTCCTTCCCAGGTGGGCTTTG